AATGGGGTGGGGAAAGATAACATTCCAAATATTTAAAAGTGGATACTAGCTCGGGCATGATTCAGAACTGAGATTGGAACATGGTCCTATGCTAGACATTAATCAGTTAGTTGCTGGATTGTGGGAAAGTCTGGGGTTGGGGGAGGATTCAATATGGCGGTAGGGGTATGGATTACTGGTGTAGTGGTGATATACCAACCAGTCTAGAAGTATTTAAATATTTAAACAACTGGTATGTCTGTGCTAGTCTGTGAATATCAGCCCTAGTTCTATATCAATTTACACCTCGGCAAGATAGTATCTAGGTTTGAATCCTAAATCTGCCATATTTTAACTGTAGCTTCAAGCAAAGACCTTACGTTTTCTAGCTTGTTTCCTTCTGGATACAAAAAGGGCTTCCAGCCCTAGGTGGTCTGGCTCAGTAGACAGAGCGTTGGCCTTCGGACTGGAGGGTCCTGGGTTTGATTCCGATCAAGGGCACATACCTTAGCTGCAGGCTCAATCCCTGGCCCTGGTCAGGGCACATGTGGGAGGCAACCAATCGAGGTGTGTCTCTCACATTGATGTTTCTCCCGTCTCTCCCTTCCACTCTAAAAAGTCAATGGAAAAGTATCTTCAAGTGACGAATTAAAAAAAAAAGGGGGGGGGCGGTTTCTAGGACTTAACTCATGTACTCCTCTCAACCATGTTGAAACAGATCATCTCCTTTGTACAGATGAAGGCTGGGAGAGGACTAACAAGTAGTCCAAGGTCACACCAACTGGCAGGTACATGAACTAGGATTTGAAGCCATCTCATCCTACCTCTCGTAAAATGATCCTTCGGCTGAAAATATTTTTCGAAGATTCAGTGGGTTCATTCATATAAATTGCTCGTAGGTGTCAAGTACTCATTAACAGTAGCTGTTACTCCTCCCACTCCCGACTGTATAAACCTCAGCCATTCCAGACTTCTCCCTCTCCCTGTGAATGCCAGGACTTCTCACATCTGTGGGTCGTAGTAAATCCTGCTGTTCTTGTCTAAAATGTCCTCCTTCGCCCTTGTCAACCTGGAGAACTCCTACTCACCCTCCAATGCTCACCTCAAACACAGAACCTCTGTACTTCTTCCCAGCTCAAATTCTACCTCTGCCTCTACCAAGAAGCCTTCTCTGCTTTCTCTCCCTCTTCACCAATCTGCCCCCCCCCCCACTTCTTTGTCTCCCACTGCACTTCCTAACAGGGAGAGCAAGTTAGTGAAGGTGCTGGCAACATCAGCTGCACTTCTTATATGCCAAGGCCTGTGCTGGGCAGTAGGTATACAATGCAGCCTGGAAGCCAAGTTTAATGCTGGGGACTAAAGAGAAGAGGATTAGAATTAGTCTAAAGGAGGCTGGGGCAGGAAAGCTTTCTAAAGACACCTAGATATGGGCTTTAAGGACAGAGAAGATTCACAATTGCAGAGGACAGTTCTCATAATACCCTATTGCCTGTAGGGCTTCAATTAATTTGGGAATTCTACTTTATGTCAGGAGGTTACCAGACTTAGTCACTAAACACAGATGAACCCTGGCCGGTGCTCAGTGGTTAGGGTCCGCCCGTGCAGAGGTTTGATCCCCAGTCCTAGTCGGGGCGCCTGTGGGGAACAACCAATCACTGTGTCTCTCTCACGTGGATTTTTATCTGTCTTCCCTCCCCCCATCCCGACCACCCTCTCTAAAAATCAATGGAATATCCTCGGTGAGGATTAACAAACCATAAAAAACCAGACGACACCCAATTAATTTGAATTTCAGATAAACAACTAATTACTTAATATACATAGGAGGGTCCATGTAATATTTGGGACGTACATTTGTTTATCTGAAATCAAGTATTTCAACTGGCAGTCCTACCCCAGGAACACTCAGAACTTCCTATGAGGTTACCAGGGGACACTGCTCCCCGGTCTAACCTACCCTCCACACCACACAAAGCCCCCTCCCGGGCACTCAGAGGACGGTGGAGGCATTCCGTGGTGCACAAGCCCCATTCCTCAATGGCTGTGACGGCTGGACTGGCCCCCATGACTTTAGAGGGGCATGAATGAGGCTACCGCATACAATGTCCTGAGTCTAGAAGAGCAATCAACTCCCAAGATTCCCTGCGTGAACATAATAGGCACCCCTGCCCACCAGGCTGGGGGAAGGAGCCAGAGCAAAACGTTTTACGGCACAATAAGGACCAGTCCCCATAATGCCCCGCGGCAACTCCCCCCAGGATGCCTCAGGCCTGCAGTGACCACCTTGCAAGGAGCGTTGAAGCACTCACTCCTCGTTTCCAAGATGCTCATGGGGGGCGGGTGTGTAACAAAGGGGACCGGTTCCCCGCAAGAACTAGGGTAATTCTTCCCAGAATGCACCAGGCCTATAAGGACTAGCGGGCCGACTCCCACACGTTTAGGGCAGGGCGTCCCTTTTTTTCACGTTGCGCCAGGGCGGCATGGAGCCGCTCAGGTCTTGTCCTCAGGCCATCACCGCCCGAGACCGCTGCCGGCTCCTCCGTGACTGAAGCCGTCACTCCCATCATGCAGCAGTGCCGCAGCGCCCGCTTCCCAGCATGCCCCGCGCACCTCGATCCCGGTCACT